AGCAGCGGCCACAGCAGGGCAGCACCAGAGACGATGATGAATTGAATCGGGCTGGGAGCACAAGGGGCAGAGACCTGTGGATACAAAGCCATGCTGCACAAGGCGGTCCTCGGTCCACATGCCACCAGCAAAGACAGAGGCGACCACATGCTTTTGCAGCGCCGAGAATTTCTTAGAACGGACAGCCTTGACAATCAAATCAGCGGAGACCTCCTGTCCCTGCCCCTGAGGAAGAGTGGCAGCAAAGCTACGGGCATGATGGCGGAGAACACTAGCATGCAACTGCTTGGCAAGCAAGGCAGGAGAGGTGAAAAACAAATCATGCTCTATCTGGTTGTCATCGAAGAAGGTCTTGAAGTTGGTGAACTTCCATCCTAGGCGATGCAAGCACAACATAGCACGGTGAATGGGACCAGCACTCTTGTTCCACTGCGACTGCTGCAAGACTGGAAACTTCAAGGCTACAGCATCCCACGTTTTTTGCAAGAACCTCCACGATAATACCACCCGATCGGGCTGCACAATCGAGTTCCATACTGCCTTGGAATATTGAATGACGGGCGCCACTGCTACCTTCCACGCTGGGTCATCATACAAGAGCATGCGAGCGGGTAGCGAGCCTCCTCGGAACGGGACGAGAGCACGTCGTAACACCAACAACTCTCTATCCGTCATGCCAGTGACAAGGGATCCATACGTAGTGGCAGGGCGCACTCCAGATATATATATCTTGTGAAGTTTCGCTTTGCCCACCGAGAGCCGTCGTCGTAAAGCACGGAGGAAGCCAACACGTCTCTTCATAGCTCGAAACCGTTTCTTCATCCGACACGTAGCACCAGGCGCAGCCCGAGGACGAGCAGGAGCCAGGTCGGCACCGAGCGCAGTGGCAGAGGTCGTAGCAGCCGCTGAGCGAGCACCGATTCGAGCAAGCCGTCGATCGAGCTCCCGAACGACATCATGGGAAGATCCAAAGACCACTGCCTTGTCGTGGGCGAGGCCAACCTGGAGCTCCTCCCTATAGACGGTGACGAGGTCCTGGGCTGCCTCCACGAGGGCTGGTACGAGGTCTTCTCGGGGGCCCGTCATGGAAACACAGTCGTCATCCACGTACACGCCGAGGTCCAAGCGGGGGTGCCGCGCCACGAACCCATCTAGGGCCCCGAGGAGGTAGATCTGCACGAAGGCGTCATTGAACACGTCGCCAGCTGGCAACCCAGACCTAGCAAACTGCACGAGAGGACAGTGATGGGCTCCCAGTCGAACCAGGCGGGGCCCCCTCCAGAAGTTGAACAGGACCTTGACTAGGGGCCGCGGGAGCCCACACGCCAGCGAACGATCACGCAGGAGCTCCAAGTTAAACGACTCATAGAACTTGAGGCCATCCCATAGAAATCCCGCCGTCTCTTGTTCGACAGCCTGGCCACGTTCAGCGCGGACCGACGCGTGCCACACCGCCTCCTCAGCTCCCCTGCCTTTTCCAAAGGACCAGTACTTGCGGGAAGACGATTCAAAGAAGGGCTCCACAAGAGGGCGGCGTGCCTTTTCCCACACTCGTACAAAGGATGCGACGAGCAAAATTGGGCGGTAGCCGCCTTGCGGCTTCTCAAGCAGTGGAAAGAGGAGCCAGAGGAGTTGGGCAGGAAACAGCCCGAGGCGCTCCGTGCACGTGAAAATAATACTGAGCTGCTCGAGCGCTGTGTCGCTGAGCATCTCGACATGCCGTGGGTGAAAGCCATCTAGGCTTTGGGCCGTGGACTCCGAGAAGGTCCGAGCCGCCGCACGCAACTGCACACACGTGAGGGCCTCCAGAGCCTCGCGATCAGGAATCCACGCCTCAGGAGGCTCAACCTCCGCATGCCGAAAACCACCGAGCTTCACGGTCTCCTCCTGCACTAACTGACACGGCTCAGACGTAAACGACCCAGGGGCCGAGGAGGAGACCGTGGGCTCCCACAGCTTCTTGATGCGGGTCAGGCGATGCATGCGCCTGGCCGAGCCGCTGAGTGCCGAGATGTGCCACTCCTTCCAGGAGCGGTCTCTGGCTTTGGAGTGCTCAGCCTGAACTTCATCACATTCCGCGGCTAGCTCCTCCGCGAGCGCAGCAGCTGTATCCCACCACTCGCTGTCCCCAGGCAACTGCGGAGACCATTGAGTGAGCAGGAGGCGGACTGACGCAAGCGAACGGTCGAGGCGGGCGCACAAGCCCTCCCCAGCGTGCGGGACTCGCACCGCAAGGAGGTGGTGAGCGCCTTCACCCGAGACCCAATCGACATCATCACGACGCGTGAGAGACAAAAACTCACTGAGCATACCGCACATCCATTGCCAACAGTTAGCCACCAGCGTGCCATCATCGGGCTCCTGTCGGCGATGGACGATCGGCTCCCAGACTGACTGCACGCGAGCTCCTCGCCACCCCGCACGGGTGGTGGGAAGATCGCAAACATCGAGCAGCTCCTGCTCGGCAGCATTGGCAAACAGAGACCACACTTCGTTCATGAGAGCCCAAGCCTCCTGGGAGGAGCCATGCTCAGACAAAAACTGCAGCTTGGGCAGGAGGCGCTCTGACAACGCCCACGAGGGAGGGGGTCGAGCACAGCCGATCGGGAGGTGGGTGGGGATTCGAGTATGACGCCGAAAGACCAACTGACGGACCTGGAGTGCATTCGCACGCAGCTCAAGCAGAACAGGGCGGTGCGGTCTGACATGCCACGCACTGTCCACAGAGATGCTGGCAGAAAGGGTAGACAGAGCATGCCCTACAACGAAGAAGTCAATCGTGGACGTAGACGAACTGGTACGGCAGGTGATCGCGGCGGGCGCCAGGATGACGGCCTTCACCTTCTGCACAAACCCCGTGGCCTCGACGGCGGCAGGTGAGTTGTTCCAATCTGCCGCAATGACCGTGAGCGGAGGCTCAATGATCTTGGCACCAATCGCGCTGAGCATGGACAAATTCTTCTCACGCATGCCGTCGTTGACATGAAAATAAGCACACACGATGTTGAACGAGAAACCAGGCAGGTCGATGGTAACCTGTATAGCACGGTGTGGTACAATAGCCTTGCACGTCGGGTCGGTCCATCGCAAGCCAAACCCGTCACGAACAAACACTCCAACACCAGCCGAGCACCTCTGCGTCTTAGTGTTGAAGTACGACTCACTGATGAGGAACCGCCAGCCCAGGGCGCGCACGGCGGCCAAAGACTGCGGCGCTGTGAGCTCGGATAGGCCAAGCTCCTGGGCGCACACGATGACACTGGTAGTCGTGGTGAGCCGCTCACGTAACGTAGACCACCCAGAGCCATTGAACGTCTCGATGAACTGTGTCGCCGTCGATGTCGGCGGCAACTTCTTCCTACAAATCGGGGGTACTGGTAGCCTCATACACGACAAGAGCAGACCACAAACCCTCGGGTGTACTGCACCGCGCTGAGTATCACCCCCGCCGCGGCTTCTTGGTGACGAGGCCGAGGGACTTGAACAACTCTTGGAGCTCCCGTTTGTCACCTGCAAACTTGGTGGTGGAGATGACCTGGGAGATGCCTTCCTCGTCAACGTCAATGAATACATCATCATCTTCGGGGACAGGTACTGATTCACCACAGTCGGTGCCCTCGTCCACGGTGGTTGGGCCCGCGGAGGCGGCCTGGGCAGCAGCAGCAGCCCGCACAGCCTCCTTGAACTTGTCGAAGATGGGAGACTCCACCATGGCCTTGAGGTCAGCGTCAGCCTCCAGCACGGTGGTCGGGAGGTCGGGAAGCACGAAGGAGACAGTCTCGCTCCCTTCAGGACGCAGGTCCTTAGGGCAAGACTCACGCAGCTCCTCCTGGAGGGTAGCCACCAGGTCCTTCGCGGCCAGCACCTTGGCCTTGAGCTCGCGGAGATGTTCCTCAGCGGCCTCGACGACCTTGACCTGCGCACTGACATCGGACTCGAGCTTCTGCTGGCGCTTGATCGCATCCTGCAGCTTGTGCCCAAGGGTGGTGTGGCGCGCAAGTTGTGGCTTGGCATCATTCCGAGCCTTACGCGCCGCAGCAAGAGATTGCTCGGCACTGACACGGCTGGGGACGTCTGCGCCCAAGCCAGACTTGGCAAACTGGGCCACGATACCTTCCCAGCGTTGCACCTCAAGCTCGAGAGGATCGGGCGGAGGAGCAGGCTCGGCAGGGGGCACAGCCTTGGACTTCTGGAGGGCGGCGTACTTGCGCTTGAGCTCGGCGAGCTCACGGGCGATACCACCATCCACACTGCCTGACGGCCCTGCCGCCCACGCACTCCCAGCACGGCGGCGACCACCTGCAGCCCCAGGAGCATGAGACGGCCCACCGGCTTCAATCTGCTTGGCCGCCTTGCGCGCCTTGTCTGCGATGGACTGCGGGGCAGGGCGGCCGCATCGGCACCGAATGCGCGATGCATAGTTGGCGGACGCGCCGCAGGACGGGCAGCCCCAGAAGGGGCGGGTCGGTCCTGGCAGCACATCATGAGCGGGACTGGCCATCCAACCTGTGCGGGGGTTGGATGGGAACGGATGAAAAGGCTCGCAGGCGCGCTGCCGCTCCGAAGAATGGCACCTGCAAGGCGCGCGAGAAACCTCGCGAGCCCGAAGCGGCTTGAGCCAAAATGGCTACGGAGGAGGAGGAGGAGGAGGAGGGAGGAGGGAGGAGGAGGGAGGGAGGAGGAGGGAGGAGGAGGGAGGAGGAGGGAGGCGGCGGCTCTGTGCATCTCCTCGGATCGGCTCGGGCCCGCGGGAGCCGCTGCTGCACCGGGCCGCACGGGTGGAGCCTGGAGCGACGGTGCAGGGGCCCCAGGACACACAAATAAACACACACACAGATAAAAGGATTCCCCATATTTTCCCACATTTTCTGGGCTTCTGCCTCCCCCCCCACTTCCCACATTCTCCCAATCTTTTCCTGGGGATCGACGATGAATTGTGTCTGTGTGTGTTTTCCCCTCCTGAGAGACGGGGGCGGCCAGGCGCGCGCGCCCCGCCCCTC